CATAAAAGCATCTCAGCATGGCCATGCAATTTCCTTAGTCATAACTTATCAGTGGGCCCCATAAGACATTAATCTCTTTAAAAAGAGTAGTGACAAATCCTATGTACGTAATCTACGTTTCTGAATACGCGCTGCGGCATACCCAAAACAAAGCCTGTATACCATCCTTATTTCATATGGCTTAGGACAATGCATCAAAGCATGCGGGTTCACATATGCAGAAAACGTAATACTTCAAGTCAAAGGATAGTTACACCCGTGGTCGCGCTAAAGATGCTTAGAGCATGAACTAAAAGTTCAAGCAACATCTTTAAGATGGGTCAGTCCGACATCCTATTATCTCTAGATAATATCTGCCCATGTGCGGATGCGAACACACTGTCATTGACTATGAGACTAAGTCAAACATCCAACACACACTAGTCTCACATGCACTAACGATATCCAACTCTCGTTAATACTCGACTATGGACATTTAGATAAATATTTATTTCAAGATGTTAGTCTCATCAGCAGAATAACACTATCTGATAAACATCTTTTAAATATAAATCTAGGAATATAATATTTGTTTACATTAGCATGAGATGTGTAAACATATTATATCTGCCTATACATGATAGGATAACGATGAACAGTTGGCCATCAGGGCACAACTCCAACAATCTCCCACTTGCACTATGGCCAATCTGACATCGGTCGAATGCCCATGGACCTAGTGTGACCCTCATGCTTTAGCTTTCCTAAAGGCTTGGTCAAGGGATCGGCTATATTGTCGTCAGTATCTACTTTGCAAATCATCACATCTCCTCTATCTACGATTTCTCGTATGATGTGATAGCGTCGTACAATGTGTTTGGTTTTCTGGTGAGATCGCGGTTCCTTTTCCTGTGCAATGGCCCCAGTGTTGTCGCAAAACAACGAGATAGGGTCATTAATACTAGGAACCACTCCAAGTTCAGTAATGAACTTCTTGATCCAAACAGCTTCTTTAGCTGCCTCGGCGGAAGCTATGTACTCAGCCTCTGTAGTCGAATCGGCGGTTGTATCCTCCTTGAAGCTCTTCCAGCTAAAAGCTCCGCCATTCAGGCAAAATAAATATCCTGCTTGTGATTTTGAATCGTCTCTGTCGGTTTGGAAGCTAGCATCAGTGTAACCGACCACCTTTAGCTCTTCCTCACCACCGTATACCAGGAATGCATCCTTAGTATTGCGAAGATACTTGAGGATGTTCTTGACCGCTGTCCAGTGTGCTTCTCCTGGACTTCCCTGGTATCTGCTGGTCACGCTTAAAG